CGTCAGAATAAAAATGAATGAATGGGGAGGGATGTGTAAAAAACACACATTAAAAAAAAAGAGGCATATAACAAGCACATGACAGCTAGGCAAATCATATGAAACCTGGCAGCATTAATTAGTGATAAATTAAACATAATGATTCCTCTAATGTCATTAAAGGCAATCTTCCCCTTCATTATCATTACTGACATGAGACATTATGATTTTTAACATCTTTAACAAAAGGCAAATTCGACTGACGAACTTGGGAGGGAAAAACGGAATTTTAGCTACCTGCAGAAAAATTACCAGCCCGTTTCCTTACTGTGAAATTACCAATGGCAACTAGTAAAACAACAGTCACAGAACTAATCAGGTTGAGAATTAAGGGTGACATCTTTTGTTGTGTATTGACAGCAAAATAAAATATTTATGTCACCGCAATTTCTATGCATTTTTGACAATCTCTGTACCTGCTTCATTAGCCAACATTTTGTTGATCGAGCAGAAGAATACATACATATTTTTGTTTGGTAAACCTCTGTATTATACTGTGTTATGCATGGGAACATTGCGTAGTGAAGTCATTTTTTGAACCAGTAGGTACTTAGGAAGGATTACGCTCATGTCAGAAAACACTTTAGATATTTTTTAAATGAAAAAAATCTGGAGAGACTATATATAATTCATGTAGTCATATGCTGCTCCTGATCCCTAAGCTGGACTTGTAGGGACACAAAGTCCACTTGTAGAAACCTAATTGCTGGATCAGAATATATATACACACACATATATACACACACCAAAATTATCCTAGGCATATTTCTAGGTAAATTCTATTAACAAGAACAATCAGGTTTTCAAAAGAATAACTGGTTATATTGTTATTCAATGGGCTGAAAGGATTCATGGATAGCAAGCAAAGCGTAACACAGATAAATGACTTCCCCCTTGTGCAGCCCCACTGAAGTCAACTGGATGTCACAGGACATAATTTGGCCTAGAATTCTGGCCCAAGGGTGATTTTATGCTCTTCATTTTCCTCCCCCCTCCCCAACAGTTATGATGGGCTAGAAAGCAAAGTTTTGTGTTATCTGAACATTTTCTCCTTGTAGATCCCATTCTTATTGCAAACTCTTAAGTGTCTCTTGGCCCAGTTAGGGGACTCAGTGAACATATGGCATGGGAATCTGAACTGTGGCTCAAAAATATAGGATACGGAAAGCTTGCTTCTATTGTTCATTTGCAGTGACTTTTCTGCTGAAGACCTGGGTTTACTTTGTGGTGATCTATACCACTCATGTTGCGTGAGATTTGTGCGGAAATCAGAGAAATAATGAAGGGATCTTATTATAAACTCTTGGAACATTTTATAATCTCCACTAATCAAGTTTTTTACAGCATTTAAACATCCCCAAATATTTCATTCATTGACATGAGGACTTGGAGTTGCCCTTTTTGTAAATAAGATTGGCATGCTTGAAAATAGGCTACAGATACAGGCAGACCTAGACAGGCTAGCAAGGTGGGCAGATCTGAATCAGATGAAGTTCAACATTGAGAAATGTAAAGTGCTCCACCAGGGGATGAATAACCCTCACCACACTGATAGGCTTGGTGGTGCCAAACTGACCATCACCGCGAATAAAAGGGACCTGGGGATAATAATGGACCACAGTATGAATACGAGCCGGCAGTGTGTTGCTGTAGCCAGCTGGGCAAATAATACCCTGGCACGCATCAATCGATGCATCTCCAGCAAAACTAGGGGAGTGATTCTTCCACTCTACCTGGCGTTGGCAGGACCGCAGCTGGAGTACTGTGTCCAGTTCTGGCCACCGCACTTCAACAAGGATGTGGTAAAGCTCGAGAGAGTCCAGAGAAGGGCCACCCTTAAGGTCACAGATTTGCATGGCAAGCCATACGGGGAAAGGCTGAGAGACCTGGGACTCTTCGACCTAAAAAGAGAAGGCTGAGAGGGGATTTGATAGAGGCAACTACATCAGGAGAGTACATCAAAGGCTCGGTGAACAACCATTCACCAGGGCGCCCTTGGGGAAAACCGGGAGCAATGGTCACCAACTCCTGGAAGACCGTTTCAGGCTCAACATTACGGAAAACTTCTTCACAGCTAGGATCTCCAGACTGTGCAATAAGCTCCCGCCGGAGGTGGTGCAACCACCTACCTTGGAAATCATCAAGAGGAGACTGAACGGTCACCTTGCTGAGGTCACCCAACTCCCAGTTTTCTGCCTGGTGCAGGGGGGCTAGACCCGATGAACTCCCGAGGTCCCTTCCAGTCTCACAATCTATGAATCGCTTATAAACTTGAAATACAACTTCATGGGGTTTCTTTTCTGTTACCTGGTAGAGCTCAGCATCATTACACAGGGGTGGTATTTAGATTTGAAAGGCCGCTGTGAGAAGAGAGTGATCTAATTGATGGGGAGCTAGCTGTGAAGTTGCTTACTCTCTCAAGAGAGAGCAGTCACACCACAAGAAGAAATATGTGGACAAAAGAAGGAAGGGAAGGGTGTTTCAGTGATGGAAGAAGAGAAGAGCAAGCAGACAGTACTACTATTCTGCCAAAGGCCCTACACTGAAATGGGCATGAGTCTCCAAGGAGGTTCTGCCTCTCTACTCTTAGGAGGTTAACCTAATGGTGAGAGTCCATGCTCAATCTCCTTGCCGAGTGGTTGTCAACCTTTTCAGACTCAAGGCACACCTTGGAAAATGCCACCTCTCAGCTTTCATTCATTTTTGGACTACAGAAAAACAACAGATCAATTCTTTTGTTGCTAACAACTCAGAAAGACCAGAACAGGCCAGAATGTTTTTGCCTCTATGGATTCTCATTTGAAATCCCTGGGTTTATCTTGTGAATCATGTATAGGTGTTTTCACATGTTATAGTGCTAATATTGAGGATGACCCTTAAAAGGAACTCATGACACCCTGGTTGAGAAACACTCCAAGCAGGTCCCAAAAACTAGACACAGATAGATTGTAGGGTGAATGGCTAAATACATTTTTAAGCAAGTCTAAGTAATGCTACCTCTGTGATAAAATCCAACCAAGAACAGATACTTCTTCTCAACAGAAAGTGAAAAATATTATATAGAATTCAGGTCATGCATAGTCAAGTTGAATTTGAAGTGGAACAGGTGCAGTGAAGGGCTACTAAGATGACCAGGGGAATGGAGGGAAGTCTTACAAGAGGAGACTGGACCTCCCACAAAAGAGGATAAGGTCAACCTCTAGCAGAGGGGAAACACCAAGGAGGAAGAAGATAAAAGACAAGTTTGGCAAAAGAACAAATAGCTGTTCACTAGGTATGAATAAGTCTAGATATGAGAAGAAGGCTTCTCCTGATCTGAACAGCAAGGTGTTTGGAGGGGCCTCCTAAAAGAAATGGTTGGGGCAAGAAACCTAACTATTTTTAAGATACAGCTTGGCCAGTTTATGAAAGGGGTTATATGATCCGAAAGTCTGTGATCACTGAGTTAAGTGATCCAGTTGGTTGCTTTGAGTTCTCTATTCTGTTAAAAATTCAGGATTGCAGTGGCATTACGATTCAATTTTTTTTTTAAACACCCGCCCCCCAGGTTGAATATGACCCA